GATCATAGAAAGCACACTCCTAAGAGACAATGTTGTATCTCCTAGATTGTAAGCTCTCACGAGCAGGGCCCTCTGTTTCCTCTTGTACCAAATTATTGTAACTGTAATGTCTACCTTCATTTTGTAAAGTGTTGCGCAAACTGTTGGCGCTATATAAATCCTGTATAATAATAATATTGATGAATATGAAGGCATCGACGCGTTTCGAGACAAACATGTGTCTTCTAGAATATACAGGGAAACTGTTGTAGATGTGCCATTACTGGACAAGTGTAACCATCTGTAACTGGCTATGCTCCATTTGTTTTGCTTTTGGCAATCCATCAATTCACAGCTCTGTATATTGAAGCACTTTATGTCCAGTCCGCTACCTGTCTGCTTTCCCTGTATGTTCCATGTGTGAAATCTAATGAGCAATACACACCAAACTGAGCATATGCATGCCTACAGTTCAGTCAGGTGATAAGAGGTGGTCCCTTGAAAAAGGAGGGGAACAGAGGAGAAAAGATCAAACTGCCTTTTTACACAATGCAGAGAATTAACCCCTTAGGTTCCACAGTGAGTATAACAAGCATGCCTTACTGCATTAACAGACTGATTTGACTGTTGTGGGTTTAGTAACACTTTAATCTCTCCTTATGCAGTCTGTCAGCATTCCCTAGGTTTTGTTACAACAGCTTCTAGTTCACTGGCACTATAACCGCTCTAACACGCACACACTTTATAATTTAGGGGGCTGGATTAGGCAAAAGTCCCCTTATTGGATCTCCTAAGCCTGCTGACCATAGTTCAGAGGCTATGCAGCATTTTATGATTTCATAAAAATTCTCCTTAGTCCTATCTGCACACAAATTTGCCAGAATCTCAAGTCTTGAACCTTTCTTTTATTAAAAAGTTTTTATTCCATTCACTTCCCTTGATTGTTTTTGCTTCAAAAAGAGCACAGAAGAATGTGCCTGCCTTCAAGCTTGATCAGTTGAACTGCTAGAAATAGATATAACTGAGATCTCAGCCTTGTCTAAGGAAAAGAAAGATATTTATAATAAAGGATTGCTAAAGCAGCTGCTCAATGAATCAATCGGAAAGATAAATATACTAAAAATGAATACATGATAATAAATTAAATCCTAGATTGTATACCCCTTGAGGGTTAAGGACTGAAGTGAATGTACATTACATGTATGTAAAGCGCTGCTCAAATTATCAGCGCTATATAAGTGAAATAAATAAATCCATAAGTATATAAAAAAAAGTGTAACATACAACTGAGTCAATGATATTTGTTCATGGGTAACCCATTAATTAAGAAAAGGCATCTAACTGTGTATTTCCTTGGAAATCTTGGACTGTACCTTATTAAATCTTTTATGTATTTTTTTTTTTACTAAAAATTTCTAATAATCTTTATTTATTATCAATCATGGCCATGAAACCTGATTAACAAAGCATTAGAAGACCATGCAGAGCAGCAGTAGTTTGTCTTTAGGCTGTCTCACTCTTATTGAAACTTTATACAGAGCTATCACAGCAGACAGAAAGGGGGAGAAAGTCCTTTAAATATATGTCAGCTTTAGCTACTTGGATCTATGAACATGGTCTATACAAAATGGGAGCTAAGAAGATACAGAAAACATCTGAAAAGAAGCCTAGAGCTCGATCTGCCTGTTCCTACTGGTACATCTGGTAAAAGATCAGATACCATTCTGCCACTGATATTTAAAGTGCACCTGTGCCCAGAATATGAATAATAAAGTGAATAAAAATGTGTACATGTTCTTATTAATCAGTAAGAGCATTGATCTGTCTAGCTGCATGAGATAATGCAAAGACCACAGCAAAGGCTCTAAAGGTTGCTTTTAGTCCATTTCAAACACCTGCTGTGTTTCTAAGAGAGACCCATGCTCAGATCACTTTTCATAGGCGGATCATACCTCAGAGACAATTGTCAGGTGTTAAGGAGGTGATGTGATGCTTCCTCCACATCTGTTTTAACCCCTTTTTGCAGAAAAACGCTCCGTATTGCAAGTGGTTACAGGGCTTTCCCGTTCGCTTAAATGGGTCGCATTCAGAGGGCTTTCCACCTGCTGGCTGTGATATGCTGGATGGTTTTTAGCCACGGGCATGAAATATTGCAACCCTAGCATGGAAACACTCCCATCTGCTACCACTGCAGCTTAAAGGGAGCACTAAAGAATGCTTTAAACGTTTTACACACACACACACCCCCCCGACAAGAATGGGAAAGAATCACTATGCTTTTTCCTTTTTTTTTTGTCAGGCTGTTGTACTAGACTTAGACTTGCACTAAGTGAAGGTGGGATAGCTGGAAGGATAGCTTGTGTCCTCTTTGTTGTTCTAGATAACTATCCTAGTGAATTTGTACAAAGCTGATAGGATTGGGTATGGGATGGGAGACAGATGGGGGGTTATCCATCATACAGAATGGGCACTCACCAATTATGGCCCCAGAATGGTCAGCTGAATGCCAGGCATCAAGTAGCCAGGTTGTGATAGCTTCATGTTCTGTTCAAATCTGCCTTTCACATAACAACTCTGCCCCTTTACAGACACTATTTCCGCGTACATCTGGGGTAAAGTGTGGATCTGGGCACTACAGAGACAGACATGGATGCTAAAGCTGCTTGTAGAAAGGTAGGAGAGGAGAGAGGGAGGCAAAGAGAAGTGGAAGCAAGCACAGCAGCACTGTGACACAGACTGCTTTGAGCTCCGGTGTGCATATTTTCCCTAATGGCGGGAATCGAGGATTGGGGTGACATGAGCTGACGTGTGCATGTCCTCACGCTAAAAATTACATAATATATTGAACTATAATATGGAAAATGGAGAAAAATTACCATGAAGAAAAAATTATCAGTGATGTGTGTGGACATGCATGCACAAGCATGTATGTTGAAATCCTCAGGTAGACATGTGGAACAGGGATTCTGGTCATTATGGGGTTTATTTACTAAAGCTGAAAAGTGCAAAATCAGGTTCACTTCTGCATAGAAACCAATCAGCTTCCAGGTTTATTTTGCCAAAGCTTATTTGAACAAGCTGAGGTTAGAAGCTGATTGGTTTCTGTGCAGAAGTGAGCCTGATTTTGCACTCTCCAACTTTAGTAAATAAACCCCTATATGACTGTATTTATCTCAATCTCCTCATTGAGAACTCTGGAAGTGAGAGTGTCCAAGATGTAAATCCAATAGGTCTGTTGCACAGTCTCCTGAATCATTTTGGCTGGGAGGTATTCATGTGAAATTGACTGCTGCATGTTCCATACCTTTAAGCCCTATTTTCCGTGACAGTGAAATGTCAGGGCACACTGTGCTTGTGTTTGTCACTGCCCTCTGCAACAGACTGAGGCAATGAACATTTCGTTCAGCAGTATGGAATTACAATATAGCATACAGAGCCATGGTCTCCAAAACTGGCCAGAAACCCAGATGCAACCCTTTTCTTGCCTTTTTCTGGCCCTTGGGCACTATTCCTCTCATTGATGCAAGGCATTATTCCTCATACTGACATTAACGATGAAGCACCATTCTTTCCTCTGACACCAACAGTGGGGCACTATTCTTTCCACTGACACCAGTGATGGGGCCCTATTTCATCTACTGACACCAGTGATGGGGCCCTATTTCATCCACTGGCACCAATGATGGGGCATACTTTCTTCCACTGATAGAAATATTGAAACACTATTCCTCCCCCCAACACCAGCTATGAGGCACTATTCCTTCCAACTGACACCAATGATGGGGAACTATCCCTCTCACTTACAACAACAATGGGGCACTATTCCTTCCACTGATACCAATGATGAGGCACTATTCCTCCCACTGACACCCATGATGGGGCACTTTTTCTCCCACTAATACCAATGATGGGGCACTATTCCTCCTCTTATTGACAGATGCATTTTTTTCTCCTGAGGCATTTTACACTTCCACAGGCTTTAGTCTGGTCCTCCTAAAGTTGAAAGACAGTAAATTGGCCCTCCCTGATATACAGTATAGTGGTCAGGGAGCTATAATATACAGAGTGCACTGGTCACAGGTATGTCATGTACAGCTCAGCATACAGAGTGCAGTGGTCAGGGGTATTTAATGCCCAGTCAAGAGTACAGAGTGCAGTAGCTATGAGTATACAATACAAATATGTACTACACAGCACAGCATACATGTGTGGTTAGGAACATGCAATGTTCTACATTTGCAACTTTCTGCTGTTATCAAGAAAGTAGTTGCCTGATTGGACGCTGCTGCCCTGACTGATATGCGTGGCCATCTTTAGTGAGGGTAGTGGTTATTTAAGGCACTGACTCCTACATAAGTTGTACGTGTTTCTCTGTTGCCCTCTTTTCTCTACAGCAGTTCAAAGTGCAGAATTTATAAAATGTGTCTGAGTTTTAGGAAAGCAGGGAGCTGAATTTACACTCTGCAGAGCTCAGTACAAAGAGCTGGTTGGAGGGAAGAGACACCCCCACCCCCACCCCACTTCACACAGCACACAGAAACAGAGCCGAGGCTGTCAATCACATGCTGTGTGCTGGAGGTCCCTCCCCTGTCACCTTTTTTCTGTTGGTGTCAGGAAAACTTGTTAGAAGAGACTCATGAAGATAGCAGAGGAAATGACAATAAGTGCTCTGGATTGAGACAAGTACATACTATAGAGGGTATGCTTTGTTCATATTTCAAATCTGCGGTTTACAACCACTATAAGGGCATTTGAATAGGGTTTTTTATAATCAATTGATCAGATGGGTGAGGATTGTTGGTAAGGGGAGGACGGTGGGGTTAAATACATCCTGGAGTGGTGCTTTAAGAGAATCTGTTGTTTTGGCCTACGTGGAAAAAGCACGTTTTTTTTAAAGTGGTTGGTGACCTCAAACATGAAAAATAAACAAAGCATATCCCTCTATATATTCACGCTCCTCATTGCAGAAGCTGTAGGCATCACTTCAAGCTAAAGTACCACTGCTACAGGTTCCATAAGTGGCTCCAGATGGTTGTGCACACTCCCAGCACACAGTTAACCCTTTGATCACCCCTCATGTTAACCCTTCTCAGTACCATTAGTACAGTGTCAGTGATTTATTTTAGCACTGATCACTATATTGGTGTTACTGGGGATGTCAGTGACACCAAGTCAGTTCCCCTAAGTGTCAGAATGCTCGTCGCAGTCCCACTATAACTAGTAAAAATAAAAAATTCCAGTATCTATACCGCCATTTGTAAATGCTATAACTTTCACGTAAACCAATTAATTTACACGTATTGGGATTTTTGTTTAGCAAAGACATGTAACAGAATATGGGTGCAACGTCACATGACCACGCAATCAGTTAAAGTAATGCAGCGCCATAACACAAAAAATGACCTGGTCAGGAAGGGGGGTAAATCCTCAGGAGGGCAAGTGGTTAAAGTGTTATTGTATGATCAAACAATTTTTCCCCATCCTTCCCTCCCACCCCCTCTAGCCCATCCTACCAGGCAATTTTGTATCCTTACCTTGCCTTACCTTACCTATATTCACCAAAGTTCCCCCTTCAGATCCCTCTCCGCTCTTGGTTCAAGGTGCGAGGGGCTGTGAATCCAGAAGTGCGAATACAGTACAAGATTCCTGACCCCCTCTCATATCATCCACTTCTGGATCCTTGACATCCAATAGGAAGTGTCCTCATCATACAAGTACTAATTTTGACACGCAAAGAAGGACCCAAGCAGGAAGTAACAGAAGCTGTGCATGCGCAGCTTAGTGTGAATTCTAAGGGAGACAGACAGGCCGGTTTATTGCAATAAACACCCTTCCTGTCTGCAGGTTTTTTTGTTTTTTTTAAGAGTTTAGTTCTGCTTTAAAGTCGCTGTAGACCTTTAAATATACTCAGTGAAGTGACTGGTCTCAGGTGATACACAGAGATGAAACACATCATCTTACATAAGTTGTACTTGTTGCCCTCTTTTCTCTATAGCAGTTCAAAGTGCAGAATTTATACAACTTGTCTGAGCTTTAACGCCTTGTGACGCCGACCACACGCAAATTAGCGTCCTCACAGAACTGGACTTTTATCTGTGGAGCCACTAATTTGCATACCTGCCTTTCTGCTGGGAGTGTGCCACATGGCGTGCTCCCAGCACAAAGTCCGGAGTGTCACTGAGAGCGCTGGGTCCCATTCTAACGATCGAGACCCGGAACTCCCGATTTCGGGTCACCTGATTGCTATGATAGCCTCTGATTGGCTATCACAGTGATCAGTCACTGTGAAGCCTGCCCCCCTTATTTTCTCTCCCTGAATGGTGGAGAGAGATACATTGTATCTCTCTCTGTCCTTTCAAAAAGAAAAAAAAAAAGTGTAAAAAAATAAATATAATTAAAAAATAAACAAAAATACCTAGATCAATGTTTGATCTAGGTCTGTGTCAGGGTTAGTGTTTGGGTCAAAGGTCAGGGTCAAAGGTCTTTGGGTCAGGTATCTTCTTTTTTTTTTCATCTGGGTTTTTTGTTTTAATTTTTAAATTAGTATCAGTTAGTGCCAGGATAAAAAAAAAATTGTGCAGTATTGTTTCTGGGTTGCACTACGGGTACATACAACAACTAACCAAACTAACCAACAACTTTACCACCAAATGAAAGCCCAATTTGTCCTGAAAAAACAAGGTTTAATCCACCTGGATGCACAAAGTAGTTGTGATGATATGTACAGTTTTATTAACACATGTCAAAGTTGCAAAAGATTTGCGCAGGGGATAAGAAACAGGGAGCAGGGATTTGAAGTTACACTCTGCAGAGCTCAATGAGGAGAGCTAATTAGAGGGATCCCTCCCTTAACACAACACACAGAAACAGAGCTGAGGCAGTTTTTTTTACCTAAAACACACTGATACTAAGGCTACGTTCACACTAGCGTTGTCAGCAGGAGGCAGACAGGTGTTTGGGAAGCGTTTTTACCGTTTTCCAAACGCCTCGGAAAATTCTGCACATTGCAGCACATATTGCTGTTCACACGGGAGCGTTAGCGTTGCATCACATCAAAACGGACGCCTCTGGTCAAGTCAGGAGGAGTTGAAGCCTCCTATTCAAGTCTATGGTGCCGCTCTGCAAACGCCCGGCCGGCATTTGCGGCATGGTTGCGAGGCGTTTGCGGAGCGTTAACACCATTCAAACTTCATTATAGGCATTTGTGGGGCGTTTTTAACACTTGGCAAATGCCTAGTAACTCCCGCTAAACCGCGCATACGGCGTTTTTGGAGCGTTTGCAGAGCGTTAAAAACGCTCCACAAGCGCCAGACCAACGCTTTTCAAACGCTAGAGGGGCGTTTGACAAGAGTTGGAAAAAAAGTCAAGTGTGAACAAGCCCTAACACTAACTGACACTGACACCAATTAAAATTTTATTTTTATTTTTTAAATCCTGATCCTTTTTTCATATCTATTTATTTATCTTACAAACAGTTGTTTTTTTTTCTCTATGCAAGGAGAGAGAGAGATACAATGTATCTCTCTCCTCCATTCAGAGAGAAAGAAAACCAAGGAGATCAGGCTTCACAGTGACTGATCACTGTGATAATCAGAGGCTATCACAGCAATCATGTGACTCGGAACCAGGAGTCCTGGATCCCGATTGTTAGAACTAGACCCAGGACTCTCAGTAAAACCCCAGTCTTCGTGCTGGGAGTGAGCTGTACGGTACACTCCCAGCACAGGACAGGTACGTAACTATGCGGCCCCACGGAAAAAAGCCCAGTTCTGCGAGGCCACATATTTGTGAGTTGTTGGCGCCAAGGGGTAAAGTTAAGGTAAAAAAGGCATTTGAGTAGGATTTTGTTTTTTCAATTGATCAGATAGGGGAAGTTGGTGGTAAGGGGTGGGGGTTTAAATACATCCTGGAGTGGTGCTTCAAGAGAACCTGTTGCTTTCTGCATGGGAAAAGCACTGGTTTGCTTTAAAGTGGTTGGAAACTTCAGATATGAAATATGAACAAAGCATATCCCTCCATAGCAGGGCTCAAAATTTCATGTCCTGAGCTACTAGCCAGAACTAAAAAGATACTCTGCACCAGTTGCCCCACCCAACCCTTACCCTGCCCCGCCTCTAATTCCGCCCCTTGTAAATTATCTCATGAAATTACACTGTTAAGTGTTTTTATGCAGAATAAAGGTACAAAAATAAATATTAACATCAACAACTTTAACAATATGGACATAAAGCAATGTAAACATAAAAGTAAAATAAGTGCTTTGCATCAATAGGCAAACAAAATGACACACAGTGCGATGGTCAGCGGTGTGCAGGGAGAGGGGTACAGACTATAGGGAGGGGAGGAAAGGGAAGAAATGGAAGGAGAGGAAGGAAGGAATAAAGGAAAGGAAGGAAGGAAAGGAAGGAGAGAAAGGGAAAGGAGGGAAGGGAGGAGGGGAAGAGAGGGAAGGAGAGGGAGGGAAGGAAGGAGAGATGAAGGAAGGGAAGAAAGGGAGGGAAGGAAGGAAGGATGGAAGGGAAGGAAGGAAGGTCAGACTCATATGGCTCTGTCATCACAGGGCTACTGGTTGCTCTGTATAATATTTCCCACACAGGGGGAGGCAGAGCAGTGTGGAGTATAGGGCACTAAGGAGCACAAGGGGGGGGGGCCTGGAAAGAAAATGAAGGATTGGGGATGGTCAGTGCAGCAGTGGGGGCAGTTACAATCAGCGATCCCCCCTATATGGCTTTCAATGAAGCAGCTGGAAGCCACATCTCCTCCTCTCCCTCCCATGGCTTTCAGCTGCTTTATTGAAAGCCATACAGGGAGATCCCTGCTTATAACTGCCCCCACTGCTGCCCCTCACACACACTCCTAGTCCTGACGCTGCTCACCCCATGTAATTTCCACTCACCCAATGTGAGCAGGCAAGTGGAAATTTTGAGGGCTGCTCTATAGTGTGTACTTGTCTCAATAAAGAACACTAAGTGTCATTTCTACCTGCTGCTTTGTTCCTCTGCTATCAGCATGAGTCACTTTTGACAAGTTTTCCTGACACCAAGAGAAAAATTGTGATGAGAGAGAGCTCCAGCAGATTGACAGCCTCAGCTCTGTTCCTGTGAGTTGTGTGGAGGGGGATTTTTCTCTTCCTTCCAATCAGCTCTCAGAGCTCTCCCCACTGAGTTCTGCAGTGTGTATTTCAACTCTCTGTCCCCTTTTTTCTGAACTCTCAGACAAGCTTTAGAATTCTGGATGGATGTAGAGAAGAGAAGATTGCAGATAATCAGGTACAACTTATGTAAGAAGATTTGTTTCATCTTTGTGTATCACAGAGACCAGACACTTCACTGGATATATGTAAGGGTTTACAACCACTTTTTCAGGCTTCATATTCGGTTTGTTTCAAATAACTGACAATTTATTACAGCAGTAAATAATGTTCTCTATGCAAAATGAATAAAATGAAAGTTTGATCATTTCAATCATCCAGTGATGTCTGAAGCAAAATCAAGGGGTTTTTTTTTTGTCCCTCTGTAAATGCTGGTTTGTGCAATTTGAATTTTATAGACAAGGTACTGTATTGACTGCTACATAGCGTATTACGGATTTAGCAAAAATATACCTTGTGTTCATTTTCAAGGTAAATGGAGAGTTAATTCACTGAGCAAAATGACTAATTGTGAAATTAGGGATTTCTTCCAACTGTCAGAGTGGGAGGAGAAGGAAGGGAGGAAGAGAAGTGTGAGAGTGAAGACAAAATGCCACCTAAACATACATACATATTCAATGGTGTGTGCTTTAGCTTAGAAGGACGTTAGCTGTGTAAACAAAGCAATAAAATAATATATGTGTCATAGCATAAGCTCAGGGTGGTAGACTCTCTTTTTAATACTTTCTGATCCTATTTGCCTGCAGCTAACCTGACAAATAGCCTTGATTTTTTTAACCTTTTCTTGACAGATCATCCTTACAGGTACTGCTTACTCTACGGCATCACCTAGGAGCTGCAGCTATGGACATTGACGTCCCCCGGAGTAGTTCTGCTGTGGGAAAATCTGACATCCACCTTCTGCTTATGCCACAGAAAAGCATGCAAGGCACAGACTTGTTGATGTCTATTTCTTGCATCATCCTGTGGCTAATAGCCTGTATCATTGCCTGATGGCATACAGGGTAGCTTTTAGGTCCTTCCAGCCCTTGCTACTGAGTCATACTCCTACAGTGACTTGGCACATGTAAATTCCTTCCCTATGTAGCTGTGTCACCGTATGTGGGGGGGTAGGCTTTGTCTAAGGAAATAATCTGCAGTGTGTAAGTTGCTCCTAACGCCTTTCCTCTGACAGATGCTGCTTTATTTTGTTTGCCATCTGCGCT